TAACCTTGGGAATCTTATAGGAACCTTTACAATGTCACCTTGGGAACCTGGACCACGTCTACTTGGGAACCTTTACATAATAATCTTGGGAACCTTGACAACCTTTACTTGGAAAACTTGGGAACCTTGCAGGGAACCTTGAAGGAACCTTGAGGGAACCTTTTGGGAACCTTTTGGGAACCTTGAGGGAATTTACTTGGGACCCTGGGAACCTTTACTTGGGAACCTTTACTTGGGAACCTGGGAACCTTTACTTGGGAACCTTTACTTGGGAACCTTTACTTGGGAACCTTTACTTGGAACCTGGGAACCTTGGGGGAATGGGTTTTGGAGCTGCTCCGGTCTGCTCCGAAACCTTTACTATGGCTGAAGACCCCAAAGCATTCTGCTGTTGGGGAAAAAAGACGATTTTGAAGCGCTTTTTAAAAGGATTTTTAGAAGGAAAATCACTAGCGCCAAAATGGAGCAAATCTGCTAACAAATCCATTTCGTAGCCTTCATGCAGCCACTCCAAGACGATTGACGAGATCCAGCTGCAAAAGACAATGGTATTACGCATGCAGCCACAGCACGAAGCAACCTTGACGCAGCCATTACAATGCGATCTGCAGAGACAGAGTTGCAAAACACAATAGAACTACGCGCAACGGCGTCGGAAATTGTAGCTCCAAAACCGGATCTCGACGCCAGAGCGAAAAAAAAGACGATTTTGAAGCACTTTTTAAAAGGATTTTTAGAAGGAAAATCGCTAGCGCCAAAATGGAGAAAATCTGCTAACAAATCACTGTCGCAGCCTTCATGCAGCCACTCCAAAACGATTTACGAAGTCCAGCTGCAAAAGACAATAGTATTACGCATGCAGCCACAGCAGGAAGCAACCTTGACGCAGCCATTACAATGCGATCTGCGGAGACTGAGTTGCAAAACACAATAGAACTACGCGCAACGGCGTCGGAAATTGTAGCTCCAAAACCGGATCTCGACGCCAGAGCGAAAAAAAGACGATTTTGAAGCACTTTTTAAACGGATTTTTAGAAGGAAAATCACTAGCGCCAAAATGGAGAAAATCTGCTGACAAATCACTGTCGCACCCTTCATGCAGCCACTCCAATACAATTTACGAGATCCAGCTGCAAAAGACAATGGTATTACGCATGCAGCCACAGCACGAAGCAACCTTGACGCAGCCATTACAATGCGATCTGCAGAGACTGAGTTGCAAAACACTATAGAACTACGCGCAACGGCGTCGGAAATTGTAGCTCCAAAACCGGATCTCGACGCCAGAGCGGAAAAAAAGACGATTTTGAAGCACTTTTTAAAAGGATTTTTAGAAGGAAAATCACTAGCGCCAAAATGGAGCAAATCTGCTAACAAATCCATTTCGTAGCCTTCATGCAGCCACTCCAAGACAATTGACGAGATCCAGCTGCAAAAGACAATGGTATTACGCATGCAGCCACAGCACGAAGCAACCTTGACGCAGCCATTACAATGCAATCTGCAGAGACCGAGTTGCAAAACACAATAGAACTATACGCGCAACAGCGTCGGAAATTGTAGCTCCAAAACCGGGGATCTCGACGCCAGAGCGGAAAAAAGACGATTTTGAAACACTATTTAAAAGGATATTTAGAAGGAAAATCACTAGCGCCAAAATGGAGAAAAACATAGGGTTTCGTGCATCGACGTTCGGGGACGCACTTTGTCTGGAAAAACATAGGGTTTCGTGCATCTGCTCTCTCTCAAAAACGCATTTCGTGCGAGACTTCCTTCAAAACTCCATCGGCAACTCATCCACCAGCACCACTTGCAATCCCATTTACATTGCGGGAACGATCCTACAGTTGCAAATCACAATGAAATTCTGTCGACCGCACATGGACGAAACACAGTTGAAACCCCATTTACAATGCGGAACCGATCCGAGACCGATCCGACCATGATCCGACCACACACGAGACCGTCTCCCAACCGTCGCACCGCAGAGGTAGATCATCGAGGTTCGGGGACGGACTTTGTATGGAAAAACATAGGCTTTCGTGCATCTGCTATCTCTCAAAAACGCATTTCGGGCGAGACTTCCTCCAAAACTCCATCGGCAACTCCTCCACCAGCACCACTTGCAATGCCATTTACAGTAAGGGAACGATCCTAGAGTTGCAAATCACAATGCAATTCCATCAGCAACTCATCCACCAGCACCACTTGCAACCCCATTTACAATGCGGGAACGATCCTACAGTTGCAAATCACAATGGAATTCTGTCGACCACACGAAACACAGGTGACACCCCATTTACAATGCGGAACCGATCCGAGAATGATCCGAGCATGATCCGAGAATGATCCGACCACACACGAGACCGTCTCGCACCCTTCGCACCGCAGAGGTAGATCATCGACGTTCGGGGACGCACTTTGTCCGGAAAAACATAGGGTTTCGTGCATCTGCTATCTCTCAAAAACGCATTTCGTGCGAGACTTCCTCCAAAACTCC